TGGTCTGGGACCAGTCAGGGAGTCAGACTCGTGTTTGGACGACTTGCAGTCGATGTTGTTCTCGCTGTGTTCATCTCCACTCGTCTGCGTTTTAGATTCACATTCAGCCGACTGACGCTGTGAGATCAATGAGACCGGATTACAGATGTAAATATAATCTGAGGTCACTGCAGACTAGGTTATTGATCAGACACCTGATCGGGGAGTGAACACTCTTCAGGTCGTCTTATTGTAACTCCACATTGTTTGTACTTTAGGTGACTGCTGTTTTTAGGATTTCTTCAGGTTTCAGTTGCCAGTGAACCATTAATTCAACCTGCAGGAACTGAAACTTAACGTTTTATTGTGAGTGAAGTTGAATGACGTAATGACATCAGAGGTTCTTCATAAAATAACAATATTAATAATAAAACTATATCAACCTGTGCAATTTAAACATGAAATTGTTATTGGTTATTGCTTTTATCAATAATGCTCTAACAAAAGTAGAATAACCATTTTTAAACATAAATAGTTGGATGAAACACCTGCAGTCAGCAGCTTCAGTTCAAACTCAGCCTAAGTACTCAAACTAAGTTTAGTTTTATCGTTAAATTAAACAGTTGTTACATAGAGATTAGTTAAAAGTATTTACAACCTGCCAGCTGTAACAGTTGTGTAGCTAACTGACAAAGCTAACATTAGCATGCTAATATTTTAGAGTTTAGAGTTAAAGAGGAAATCAAGTAAAGAGTACAGTCGACCTGAAACGCAATAAATTCTGTTTATTAATGATTCAATCTGGAAGATTTTAACTCACATTTTGCTAAAATCCCTTAAATAACCAACATTATGCTAATCACATTTGACTAAATGAGTAAATAACACCAGTTAGCTTAGCATAATCAGATATTTCCCTCACATTATAAACTGCTAGCTTCTTCACACAGACAGAAATAAAACTACTTTTAAAAGGATTTATCTTTAAGACCTAAAACTGTAGTTTTTTTTAAGTGAAGCTTGTGATGCTACAGTGACTTCCTGTTTACACAGCAGATTGCTTCTGATTGGATGGGGGTACAGATGTTTCCTAGCAACAGATTTAAATATTAAACTCTTTATTATCTGAGTCATTTCTTCAACCTGATTCAGTGAATCTCTGGTTTGAGACTTTGGAGGGACTGTAATGGATTCGTGGAGAGCTGCTGTTTATTTCTGTCTGACCATGTCGACCTCCAGCAGTTTGTTACATAATTCATAAGTCTCCATATAGATTCATCACAGCGACTGTGTTCCTGAAATGAGCGACCCGTCCTTCCACCCCGACCGTCATGACATCATTATAAATGGGCCGTCAGTCTGAAACCCCCACTGCACTAAGTGACCTCCGCAGATGGACATTAGTGATAATTCTAAGAGGAATCCTCTCTGTTCTTCTTCTGAGGTTCAATGAATCTGGAAATTAAGAAAAGTTTAACTTTTCACTTATTAATTAAATTAATGAATGAAATAAAGGAGATATAACGTGTTAATGCTTTAGAGCAGCTGGAAGGTGGATTTTGTAACTCTTGGACAGAGCCCGGCTGTTTCTACCTATTTAAGCTAATAAGCGGCTGTAGCTTCAATCTGAACATGTAACTCTGAGAGGATTTACAAGGATAAAAGTTTGGGTTATTTTGTCTAAATTCAGATTTTTCCAAGATGACTTCATGTCACATTCTGTAAATACGTTCAGTATCTGTACCAATATTCACATTTCTGTCACTGAAATCAAGTCTGAAACGTAGATTTAGAGGGTTGTCACAGCATCCCCTGCAGTCCAATTAACACCAATTAACACTATTTTTTATACACTCAGCTGACGTTTTAATTTCCCACAGTTCAGTGTTTCCAGGTGAACTTAGAGAAAATTAGATCTTGCTTCCTGTGAGTCTTAGCTCTGCAGACTCACGGTTTTGGCGGAGCAGCTGTTAATGTGGGATGACGGCAGCGTCTGCACTCTCACAGCCGGTAAACTCTCCAACCACTACAGGAAGCCACATCTTCATTATCCACCTCATTATTCCCCATCAGCATGCTGGGAGACACCACAGCAGTCGAGTCTGATCCTCCACAAAACTCTGATCCTCCACAAAACTCTAATCCTCCACAAAACTCTCTCTCCAGGACCAAAATAGAAACCTTCTGCTTCACAACAAACACACGACTTATGCTACAAACCTGTTTTACATTTCCTGTAATATTTAGTTCCAGTATCAGCCTGATACAGTCACGTTCATGAATGTAGCGCTCATACATCCACAGTTAGTACAGAGCTAAACTGTGATAGTAAGATAGTGGGTGGAGGTCAAATGAATGGTTCAAAAATCAATTGTGGCTCCAAACCGGAACTATTGGGAAGAGAAGCGTGGACCAGGAGGACCCCTTCTCCACCAAATGTACTCCAGTTTTGGATTCAACAATCAGTAATCTTCTTATTAGGAATAAAACTGCCTCTTGTGTGAGCTGTCTGAAGCTAAATAAGCGGGTACACGCTGTAAAAAGTTTGAGAAACACTGAACTACAAAAAATAAAACAAAGAAAGCCAAACCAAGCTAAATCAAAGCCCAATCAAACAGAACAGAACTAAGACCTCAACTCAACCAAAACATGAACCAAGCTGAAGAAATCTATACCAAACTAAATTGTAGATGAACTCAACAAACCAGACTAAATCAAACACAAACCAGATAAACTAAACAACATTATTAACTGAGCTGGATTAAACCAAACCAAACATACCTAAGTAAACTAACCCAAATTACACCAACTAAACTAAATCAAAAACTATCACCAAACAAAACCAAACTTAACTAAACTAAATCAAAAACTATCACCAAACAAAACCAAACTTAACTAAACTAAACCATAAAACAACCAAACTTTATCGCACTATAATGACCCAACCTAACTAAAACTAAATCAGGGTTCCCATTCTTTAAAGAAATCATTCTCCAGGAGTTTTCCTGATAATACAGGACAGCACTCACTCACAAACGGTCATATAATTTACCGGTAGCCCTCGGAAGTGGTAAACCTCTGCGTTAGCTTGGTTTTGTGTCGCACTTGGCTGTTCTCACCACAGCTGCAGTCTCAGCGGAGCGATCTCCAGTGAACTGACAGTTTTCTCTAATTCTTTACAGAAATTAATCTTCTAGAAAGTGAAAGTCTTTGTTAAAAGGCTGAGAATATTGTTTACAGCTACAAAATAATTACACTTGATGCTGAAAGGTTCGCTGAAAGTCTGTTTCGTGGTAATACTTCAGTTTACAGAGGTGATCTGAGTAAGGGGCTAAAACACAACTACTTCAACTACTCGGACAACATAAATTATTTTCAGGATATTTGCTCATTTTAATCAATTTCCATTTTTGTCTGGAGTCTCTAAATTTCCAGGTTTTCCAGGATTGACCAGGCTAAACAACATCAAACATACTAAGTCAAACTAAACCACCCAAAAAAACACTACAACCAAACTAAAGGGAAATAAACCAAATAAACCTTATTCGCTGCTGTCAGAAACATTTCTATTATGCCAAAACGACCAAACAAACCAACCAAATCCAACTAACTGAACCCAAACCGTTTCTGTCACCAAATTAAAACCAGACCAAATGTGTCCGTGTTGTTCCTCGGCTCAGGTTTGTGTTTCTGTCCTGCCGGCAGCTCTCTGTGTAATCCTGTTATCTGGCAGAGTGTGTCCCAGTCCAACAGCTGAATAATGGACTCCCCCCGTTTACCGCTTCCTGTTACCACAGTAATCCACCGTAACCAGGCCGCTGATCTGAGCCCAGAGATGAACAGAAAAAAACAGAGAAGATTGGAAAGAGCTTGTGGCCTGACAGAACGAGGACAGATGCAACCACAACCTTTAAAAACAGGGTTTATAACCTGATTATCTGCTCCTGGATACAGTTAATAATACCAACAGTTGTGCAGGTGTTTTTATTTTTATGTGAATTCTAATGTAAACTGATGTAAAGCATCCATTTTTAGATTCAAACTGATCATAAAATCACAAAGAGATACTGTAAAATGTCAGAGCTGAGCTATCAGTCCAACAGCAAGCCTTCAGTGCTGTCTGGTCATTAGTGCTGCCCAGCAGGATTAGCCATTAGCGACAGTGAGCCGGAAAAAAACCTTCAGTTCTTGACTGAGCGGCCATGTTGTGATTGAGCAGAATGGGAAGTTTGGATGCCAGTGAGCAGGCTAATGACCAGAGCTAATTAGTTAATGACCTCCTCATCCAGACCAGAGCTTCCTCCTCCTGCAGCTAATGGAGCGTCAGCTAACCAACCACTGGCAGGGGCAGCCATGTTTTCCTGCTGCAGCCTCTCCTCTGGGATCTGCCCGGTCCCCGTTAGAGGACGTTAATCTGCAGAAACCAACAGCCGAGAACAGAGAGAGAGATTTATTTATGGAAATAAATGTGCATGTAGTTTCGTCGACAATGATTTAGTTTCTGGGGGTGACGGCCAACGCTGCGGGGCTTCAGCAGATATCCACTGTGATATACAGAGTTTATAGAGATTAACACTGAAGTAACACATCATCAAGTCAATGTTCTCCAAAATGTCTGAGAGTTATTATAGACGTATCCTAATGTATAAGTTTTATTTAAATTAATGTTTTATCAGGCACACCTAATCTTAATCTCTCGTCCGTCAGGGTTCAGATGGAGTTTATGTGACCATGAAGAGTTCGACTCACAGCATCGCCACCCAAACCAGCCAAACACCGTCTGCTGCAGCCGCCTTCTTCATCAGGTCAGTCACGTGGTTAATCCTCAGGTCATTATAAGGAAAACAAATCTGCACAACCATTAAATGTAAGGAGTGAATAAAATAAACTGTGACATCATTTGAATAATTTAGCATCATATCGTTTCTACTTCAACGTGCTTTAAATGATTAAAGTTTGGATGTAAAGGTACTTTTAGATGCTCGTTTCCAACAGAACTTGAGTCTATTCTCAGGATATTTCCTTCCTGCAGTTTCACAGACTGAATCTCATAAAAAACTTTCATATAATTTCATCCCACCATTCCCGATCCAGATTCGGTTGTGCTTCAGAAGTCAAACGCCGGCTCTTCGCTCCACACAGAATCTAATTGGCAGATTTACTATTTTTATCCGGTTTGAGTGGTTGGAGCTGTCAGAGAGCAGCGGAGCAGCGAGGGCTTCAGGGTTCAGGAGGGTTTGTCTGCTGATTTATTGGTGCTGATCAGCTGATCGAACAGAGGCAGCATGTTGTCTGAGTCTGATAAACAAATGAGACACAACATTTCTATCCAGCTGCAGTGAGACGGAATGAAAGAGGTCAAACTAAACAGGCTGTCAGAGTCCAGCGGCTGACATTTGACAGTCTTTCAGAATAATTGAACTGAGACACTGAAGGAAGTTCAGCCCAGAAAATAAACCCATCGCTCAGCGCTTTGTATCCATCGCAGTATGTAAAGTTTACAGAGTTCAGTGTACAATGAAGACTTAAAGTTTGATATTAAAACGACTTAACAGGGACGTAGTTCTTCCTGAATTGCACCATCAGCTCATTGAGGAGGAAGTGGTTACAGCTTTAAATATCTACGGTGTATAAATGCATCTCTGACATACAGCAGACGCTCCATCCTGTTCAAACACCTGAGCTCTGCTGAAGACGAGTCTGTGGGATGGTATTACCCAGCGTTCACTTCAAAGACTTCCCAGCATGCATCTGTCAGAGGGTGCTGAGGGCTGAGGGGAGGCAGCAGAGAGTCACTCTGCTTTTAACTGAAGATCTTTGAAGGCTCGATTAGCCTGCAGCTTCCTGCACACACACACACACAACACCACACCACACACACACACACACACTCTCACACGAACACGACACAAATACACACACAAAACACATCTACACACAAACCACACACACACAAAAATGATATG